CCCCAAAACCCCAAAACCCCAAAACCCCAGCTCTTTCTAGAAATATTGAAATTAATAACGTTTTTCTTCAAGAATCTTTGCAATAACCTCTGTAATCCCTTTGTACTCACAATTGGTCTTCAAAGTTTGGTTGATGAGATATAACAAATTCACTTCAGAATCCGTATCTTCAAATGTTTCTCTGACCTTATCCATACGTATCTCCTCTGAGTTTATGTCTGAGCTGGATTGGAGAAGATAAGTCATTGCGTTTGAGAATCCTTGGGATATCAGGGTAGGGTCTCTTGTGTACCTCCCTCTAGCTAGCTCCTCTAAAAGTTTATATCTTAAGTATACCAAACACAATTCTGATATCACTGGCATTAACGAATCCTTTGTTTAATGGATCGATAAAGATCATCCACATGTCAATGAACATCTGGGGAGTCCCTTTTTGGTATTTCAGAAGCGCATTGAGATGTAGGAATGTCCTCCAGCTAACTAGAGTATCTGGGGCAGAGTCCTCATCATTATCACCTGCAATTTCTTGTAACTTGGATTTGATATTAGACGAGCGTTTCTTCTTTTTATTATGATTGAAATCAATCCCAAATGCTCTCAAAAATCTTTTCTGAACCAAAGGAGTCTTGTCCTTTAGCACATTTCAAAATTTTATGAACAACGAAGCAGGAATTTCTGAAGTATTCAACTATGATGTTAGAGTAAAATTTACAGAATAAACACTTCTCTGCATATCTCTGATGCTGATGAATTGGGAGTGAAGTTCGTAGATAAGTCTGTTTTCAACCTTGTAGAGGTTTCCAAACTGACAGACACTGTCAAAACTAAGAATATCCTGAGCAGATGCTTGGACTAGCATTGCATGACTCCTTTCTTTGGATAAATTATTCTATAAAATTTCATACTTTTCGTTACCTCTTGCTTAGCTGGTTTTATACTAAGAGAACTCTTTTTATCAAAACCATAATCTGCTTTAACAGGGGATTTTTCTTTCCTTGGTGACTTCCTTTTTCTTGGTGACTTTCCTTTACGAGGAGATCTTGTTTTCCTAGGTGAGAAATATTGTGTTTCTTCATCATAATCACTACAATTATTTTATCTCATCTTCAACTGGATCAAACAAGTGAGCTGGCCTCATCTCTCCAAGTTGAGATGTAAATCTACCCCTGTATTCCTCATTCTTCCAAATATAATTAGTACTCTGAATTTTCATATTTTTAACTCCAACTCTTGAATTTTCAGCATTTGAAAAACTATATTTATTCCTTTTAGCCTCCCACTCTGATTCAAGTTTCTTAATATTATCCCTAATCTGTCTTTCTTTAAGTTCTTTCTCGAACAAATGGCCGTGGTCAGGATCGTAATCCCTGAGGCCAAGGAAATAGCCGGTCCAGGATGCCACCAAGAAGCCTAAGTTCTTCCTGCTCTCATCATAAACACCTTCAATATCTGAAAATTTTCTGATATATTTGCCATCAGGAGTAAAGAGCATGATTTTATTGTCTTCTTGGAAATCAGATTTGATTCTGAACTGGCCGATCTGGGAGTTCTTAGAAAGCCGAACGACCTCTTCTCTCTTATCAAACTCTTTATCAATGTAGTTCTTGAATTCTAGGAATGCTCTTTTGTCAAACTTGCCCTGAGCTTTCGCTGCCTTCTTTTTCTCAGCATAATCTTCTAATTTATTTTGAATTAATGGAGTACTTCTGAAGGAACTGAGTAATCTCTATTTTAATGAATTTAGAAGGATCCTCAGTGCTGCTACCATCAGGGATGACTGCAATATATCTTCTCCCCTTATTGCTAAGTTCAGTCTTGAAGATTTTGACAGGATTCTTGGTGGGATAGAGAGATGATTGGGATCCACGCACCTTATGTAATCTCAATGTTGCTAATTTTTCATTCATTTTCACCTTCATCCTGGCTTTATAGTGCTTAATCTCTTCATTTGACTGGATAGATGCAATATTCCTGAGATATTTCTTCTTTGATTCTCGAAGATTATCAGAGGACATGTGGATCTTTGAGCTTAACTTCTCACTATTTCTGTTGATAGTTCCAAGAGTCTCAATTTTCGTCTGCTGAGAATCATAATAATCATTAAAAGAATTATCTTTCTTCTTGATTTTTATAGAAATTTCAGGTCCTACAAAGGGTTTGGCTATGTTTGAAGAACTATAGTCCATCCCTTCATTTGAGATATGCAAGAATTGACTCATCTTGGGATTCACAAAATCAAAGTCATTTTGAAGCTTAGAGATATCCAAAGATTTCTGTTCTGTTTTATTAGAAACTATTGTTGAAGACCTGTGAGGATATCGTAAAAGCTATAAATTATATTAAGATCTAAGGCCTACCTTGAGGTTACGAATGTTCCTACTGATAACAGATAAATTCCTTTGGGCATTGATTTTTCCATCATCTATCTCATCCTTTAATAACTGTATTTTGAAATTCTTCCTCTCTTTAGAAGGATTGGTTTTAAAGGATGGTCTATTTAGTTCCTATTCTTTTTTCCTACATCAGGCAAAGTTAGAAGCGATCGTTTAAGCATATGAGCTTACTTTCTTAGGAGGATCCGTACTTGTAGAGACCCCTGTAGCGATTTTATTAACATGTTTGGCCTGACTAAATAAAATTTTAATTAGAAAATACCTTCTAATTTTAGGTAAAATAAGTTTGTTAATTTCTTTTTGACCACTCTCGTTGATTCCTTCAATAAGTGGCTCGTCAAGGTCATCCATAAACATTTCTAAAGCATGAAACAATTAAAAATACGTGAGTCATTATAATAAATGGGATTGTTAGGAACCTGAGGTCCTTCTTCCAGGAAAGACTCAGTCTGCTTACTGTCATCTAGAGATTAGTGGTCAATCCTGTTACCTGTAGCTCTGCGATCTTTAAATCTACTAGCACCATATCTCTTCTTCTTAAGCACCGGCTGGAATATTTTGAACTGGAGATCCATTTTCTAAATTTTATTTTCAACTATAACTACTCTTCTTGGGGTTTTGGGGTTTTGGGGTTTTGGGG